TCAACACCCAAAACTCAAACCATCCCAAAAGAAATCCGAAAATCAACTAGCCAAAAATCCCCAAAACCAGACTACAAAATCAACCCCCAAAATCAAACTCCAAACTCCACCAACCACAGACCCCCCTCAAAATCTGATTTTTTTTTCTCTATATATACCCAAACTATATAATAAAACAAAAATAAAATAACATGAGGATGCCAATTTGTCCGGTACTCCTTGTCTCTTCTGCATGTGAGGCAATGATGGGGCTGTAGCAATCAGCGGTGCAGAGACGCGGGATTGGGGGCGAGGCGCGGTGTGCAGGGGGTAGGGTAGAGCAAAGCCGAGCGTGCGAGGGGCGATGATGGCTCGGGCGTGCAGGGGTATGATTGTAGGATCAGGCGCGCAGAGGGGAGAGCAGGGGCGCGGGCGTAGTGTGCAGGGCTGGTGCAGCAGGCGGGCTCGGTTCAGGGCAGCGATTGGGCGCAGAGAGCAGGCACGCAGAGGCCAGGGGTGCAGGGCTCGGTGCAAAGCAAGGCTGGGCGCAGGAGCAGGGGATCCGGTTTGGGCGAGGCCGAGCAAGGCCAGGCGCAGGTTCGCGGTAAGCAAAAGGGGCACGAAGGTAGGGGTGAGGATGCAGAGCAAGGTTCGGGTGTGAGGAAGGAAGGCTGGTTCGAGTGTGCAGGGAGAAGGGGGGAAGAAGATTTTGGAAGAGAGAGAGGACAGGGACCTTTTCACCCCTTTTTTTTTTTTTTGGGTTTGGGTTAAATGGATTTTGGGTTTTGGGTTTTATGTTTTAGTGGGTTTTGTTGGGTTTGGGCTGATTTTTATGGAGTTGGGCCATGGGTTTGAGAAATGGGTTAGATTTATAGCTTTTGCATAATTTTGGCAATTTAATCTCAAACTTTGACTTTCTCCAATTGAGTCCCCTTTCTTGAGTTTCTTTTTCAATTTCTTCTTGAATTTTCCAATTTCTTCTTGCATTTCTTTTTGCATGTAGCACCTGAAACAAAATAAAGATGTATTAGTCAAAGCAAAGAGAAATTTTCATATTTTTATATTTTTTATTTTTTTTTATTTTTTATTTTTGGATAAAAATTTGAGTTATGACTGCTAGAGTAAAAGTCCAGCCAAGAAATCTGATGATGCTTTGATATGGATAAAACAAGGCCAAACTCGACCATGATGATAAATAGTAAAGATGAAGCTTAAAAAAATTGTTCATGAAGTCGAAGGCCTATTTTATATAATAAATATGCATGCTCCTCTAAGCTTCTTTAAGTAGATTCACTTGCATAATTCAAAATGATAGGTGCGGTTTAAAAGTACCTAGGTGATGACTCTAATCAATATAGGTATATGGCTAGAATGTTGGCCTTAGTCATGTCATCACTGAAGTTCTAGTAGTGATGATAAAGTTTCCCATTTGAAAAATACTAAATTCAAAGCAAGGTACAACAAGTAGAGATTTTTCTTACACTATGCATGCAATTTGAAGTTAAAGAGAAGTTAAAGTTGCTTCGGAGAAAATTTTAGCAATTGAGAAGTAAACTTCTTCTTTTGAAGAAATTGTGTTGAAATTCCTCTAATCACATGCTTAGCTAAGAGTGCGAAGCTTCCACTAGCTTACTTATGGATAAGGAAGAGGAAGATAAAAGGGGAGATTCCTTCTAATGTTGATGAATTTCTTAATGACTACACCAACTTTAGTCTTCATGCATACAAGATAATGTTGGGGGCGTTTGCATCGTAAAAGTAAGCTTTTTCGACAAGACAATTGCAGCAGCATCAAGAAACCAAATAATAAACTCCGCTGCAAGTGATGCAAGCCAGTTAAAGAAACTAGCTATGATTACGTCCATCCATCTTGCCATGAGTTATTACGTGGAGAGAGTTGCATGGCAATTTAGCTATGACTTAGATGTTCTGCCACCCTTTTCTCAGATAGCTCTGATTGGGACTTAGCCGTAAGGCCTTACATTGCCAATGTCACTATAGCCATGTACGGCAAAAATACTACCACATTTAGATTGTCCAATTTTTTTAGATTGTAAACCATGTCACCTGTTATGTTGCAATATTGGGAAACATTGCTAAAAAATTTTGATGCCTTCATTTAGTCACCATTAGAGTGTAATACCCCGAAATTTTGTGATATTTTAGCATTAAGTTAAGGACTTGATTGTGAAAAAAGATTGTTTTTGGGCCTAATGTAAATATTCTGAAAGTTGAGGGGCTTAAAAGAGGAGAATTTGGATAAGGATGGCTTATTTCTTTTCTCCCTTTTCCTCTTTCTTCTCCAGCCCGTTTCTGCTCTTCTTGTCTTCCCGCTGCACCCGAAAGAAAAAAGAAAGGGAACCCAGCCATGCCTTGGA